GATAGTTTATAGGCCAGAAGGTATTCTTTTGATTTTTTTTGATATCGAGTTTGTCCAATTCGTATCCGTGGCTGCCAAACCATTTTTGTAACTGCAAAACGTTAACGCCACTATGTAGAACATATTGTGTAACATTTTGTGTCGATCATCCAATTAAAATAAAGCCCGCTATTACTATGTTTAACCGACCGTAACTGACCGAACCTATCTCTAGTAACTTCCAAGAGATTGACGATTTTTTCTGGTCGTTTTGCAGTTAACATTTTTACGCAATAAAAGAGTATGCTGCACATTGAAGTATCAAATTTATTGAAGATATTATATATAGCATTGCGTAACGTTCATTTATTGTTTTCTGTGCGATTGTAACACCTTTCAACGAATTGGATCCCTTTTTCCTGTAAAACTTCTAGCTTAAACATTTCTTTCTGCTTCAATTTCTCCCTAGTTTTATGTAATTTTGCGTAATGTATGGACGAAATTTGGATGGGAATATTGCGACCATTAAAATTAAGTGATGCAATAGAATCATATAAACATTCCGAATAATAAAAATATTAATAATTATCCGTCAGATTACTATGATCGGGCTGCCAAATAATTCGGGTTATTTGGCAGAAAAAAAGTTTATTTTGGTTATTTGGCAGAAATTGATAGCTTATTTTGGTTATTTGGCAAAAAGCAATTCTTAGTTTGTAATTTTACAAAGAATTATTATATGATACGGTTCCTTAATAATTTTTAACTGACCAAATTGTACGTATAGTATAGTTACCAGGTTTTTAAAATTCTCACTATTGGATCAACACATAATGTAGATTCCCGGATTTTTTAAATCATTCAGATAGACTTACAATAAATTTTCGAATTTTTAAAATTCTTATATAATAAAGCGCTTAAATAAATTTTCAATTTATAAAATCTTATAAACTGAATTAATACATTTCTTAAAACCGTATGAACTCTATATCTATTCAATTGATATTTACATGTTCAGCAGTTATATAATAATTCTTAACAATTGAAGCGCCAGAAGTATTGTCATAAAAATTATTATCAGGAGTATTTCCATAAGAATTATCTTCACGAAGAGCTTTACGAATTGTTTGGCGCCCACCAATTGTAGGGTTTTTTTTCATAGCATTGATATGTAATGGTAAATTTGGTTTAACAGTTTTGTGTAAAGGTTGCCGGAATGGTTTTGTCAAATTAGGATTAAGCGTAGATGCTGATTCAATTGAAGAAATCTTGGGCTAAAAAACAAATTAAAAATATAATAATATTTTATATTCATATTAGTATTAGAATAAATTGCGA